AAACAAAGCAGTTTAAAATTAAGTTAAAATATTTACCCATAATTCACATCGTACACAAAACTTTACTCTACACATTACTTTACAATACAAAACGAGAGCTTTCGCCCCTGGGGCGAAAGTTCTGGACCTTAGTCCGAACTCGACTGAGAGTTTACCCAAACGATCCTTTCTTTCTGTCTCCTCTCTATATAAACCAAAATTTACGTGATGGTTGGTTGTATTTAAAAATGTCACGCTCAATGTAGATTAATAACCTGAAGGTTTGTTTCATTTTCATACATGTCTTTTTAATTATTTAATTTAAACATTAAATACTTATTTAGGATTTATGGTAAATTCTTTAGATTTTTTCAAATACATAATAATGCCAATTATTACACATCCAGGTCCACTTCTTGTACCAGTTTCTTCCATGCATTCTTTTTAGATTCCGCGATGGCTTTCTTAACCTGTTAACCGAGCGGGACGTATAAATACGTCAAACATAAACAATATCGGGTACGGGTAGGACATACCAATACGTCCTTGATGTAGATTCATGATTATAAGAACTTTATAACATTCATTTATTGAAAAGGCATACAACAAGATCATTTTGTTGAATATATACAAAATCTAAATTTAAATAGCTAAAAAAAAAAAAACTCTTTAACACAAAAGCTGTGTATTTTCAGCAAAATAATGACTTATACTGATGAGCTTCTGAAACATCCAATTGTTAACTTTTTTATATTTTTTTATTGTGTATCTAAATAAAAAATATGTATTTTTTGTAATCTTTAATTGTAATTTTTATTTTTTTATATGGTCATAACCGCCCGTAGGTTTTTTATTATTGCCATTTTATCTGTTTCTCCACTGTTTTCCGTCATGATGATATATTTCAAATTCTCGTCATCTTTTAGGGTCTGGTCATTTCTCATTATGGTGGAAGCGGTTTTGCTGTATACCATGTTGTCTTTTTGCAACTCACCACTTTCTATTAACCGTCTTAGATTCGGGTTTTTCTCTAGGCATATTTTACAACTCCATTTTCTATGATTTGTTCCTCTTTCAGTATAATAAGTTGGTCCTCTTCTTCTTTATGGTCCTGCGTTGTTTCGCATCTTTTATAGTTTTCCTCAGGCCATCTACTTTCAATCAACTTTTCTAGCGTTTTCCCAGTTTGATGTTTTTCAAGTTCAGATTCTATTTCAATTACATAAGTAGAATTCATTCTAAACTCAGTAAAACTATTACACATTTGGCGCACAACGTGGGGCAATTCAAAGAATACCATCAATTTAGAGCGCAATATAAATCTTTTTTAAATCAGTATAATTATTTTTAAATTGACTAAAACAGGATACGTTGTGAATTTTAAATGCATTATATTTACATATATTTTTATTTTCAGAGAGCATTTCGCTGACATTTGTACTAGAGTAAAGTCGAAAGTTACGGAACAAAGGTGGATTAAGACGCAAAGAGAAAAGATTGGTATGACACCAATAGTGGAAACGACGTTAGTAAAAAAATTCTTTTTCCCTGAAAGAAAAAGAATGTAATATTTTTTTTATTATATATGTTTATTAAAAAAAAGTATATTGTTATTGCTTTGATTTTAATGTAAATTTTATTATACAAAAACTTTATTAATGTAAACATTTTGTATTGTATACAAATATATTTTTTATGCATTTTGTTTTTTTTTTATTTTTTAACGTAAAAGGGGCCAATTTTGTAATGGAATCATCATTTAATTATCGCCGCACGCAATATTCCTGAGAAAGGGAAATTTCGTAAAGTGGGAGTTTTGATGTCAAATCTTTTCTAGAAATTCATTTTAACATCATATCGATGAACAACCACAAGTGTCTTTGACTGCGAATAGTGGTTAGTTATTAATGTCATTAAAAAAGATCTAATTAGAAATTATATTTCTACTTTTAGTTCGTTATAAGTTTAATTTTTAAAAGTCAATTTAGATTTATTCAATATGGTGGAATTACACATTGTTTGTATTAATTAATTTTTTATTGCTGAACATTTTTAAAAAATAGTTGATTAAAAGTTTGATTTATATCTCATAAAAAAACATTGTGAAAAACAATTTATTTTTGTTGAGGAAGCGAACACACGCAGTGAAATGTTTTAATGTTGTAAAAATGGACAACCAAATTTTTACTATCAGACCAGTTATAGGAAAAATCCGCAAACAGTCGAACGGGCTATTTTTTTTTAAACGATTTTAGACCTGAAACACATTTCAAAATACATTTTTTGCCCTGCAAACGCTATAAAATATTTTTTTCTTACCTTAAAACTATTAAAATGTGTCCTCCAATTTCGATGTTAAAAAAATTTAAACTACAGCATTTCGATTAATTTCTTGTTATAGAAACTGCTAAATAATAACACTAGACCATCCATAATGCAATAAACCATCCAAATTTTTTCGTAAACAGTTTATTTTTTTAATTTAAGCTCATGTTTAAGGTTCGTCGGAATTTTTAATTTTCGTAAAGACTGACAATTAAGATTTGCAGTGTGACATATGTCTAAAAGAAATACAATGTTGCCATATCAATTATCTATTACATAGCAATGGTAATTTTTACCTATGCCCTGCGTTGTACCAGGCCAACCAATTGACTTCAGTATCAGAAAAATTATATAAAACTAACGATTTAAAAAATACCCATATCAAGATCTTCTTCCTCAACCTCATCGACAGAGTACTCTTCGACGACCTAACCTAAACTATATATACAATAAGAAGATGAAGCAACGACTTCTTGTAGGGTGGCGCTACCAAAAAAATGTAACTCATACCTGGCTACGCCGACCGGCATAGACTCCAACGGCCTGGACACAGCTCAAATTGAAAAAACCTAACCAACCCTCATTAGCGTCTGGCCAGTGAACATCGATCCCAACTTTTAACGAACGTGTCTTGTATCGTGGCCATCTAATAATATGAAAATAAACAATAAGAAAAGGAAGCAACGACTTCTGGTAGGGTGGCGGCTTCGCCGCCACCAGAAAATTTTTAAACCATACCTGGCTATGTCGACCGGCATAAACTCCAACGGCCTGGACACAGCTCAAATTGATTTTTTTTTTAAATATTAGATAAGTACTGACATGCCGTAATTAACGTACAATCATCATGAAATGAAATAAAAAGACGGTTGTCTGTAATTACTACAAATGTTTTCACTTCGAGATCCAAATTTACCTGCTAGTCAGACACTATGTAATTTTTCAGCCAACTTTCACTTACTGAATTATTTCCTGACTTATATGTTTTCTTACTCGATTGGGCAACACCGCATTTATAGAAACTAGACACATCAATTGTCATTGAAAATAATTTAATGTTTATTTGTTTTTCTAACAAACTAAAAATTAAAAATAAGAAAATTTTATCGTTTATGAAAAAAATTGGAAGGGTTTATTGCTCTATGAATGGTCTTATATTGATATTTAGCCGTTTCTTCAACAAGAAATCAGTGAAAATGGTTTATTTCACATTTGTTTTATGATGGAGACCCGACAACAAATATTAAGGATTTTAAGGTAAAAAATTTTTTTAAATAAGTGTTAGCGGACCCAAAATTGTTATGTATAGTGTGTTTCAAAGTGTCTAGAAACTCTTTATAACATTTCAATAGTTATATCCGCCGTTCGAGTGTCGGCGTATAATACCCAGTTATATATCTACCTGGAAGCAGGGTTTGGCGTTTAGACTCGTTGAGGAAGGAATCCTATAAAGAATGCTGATTAAGCAGGTGCTATTGAAAAGTAATACACGAGGCTAAAATCTTAAAAATACCCATAAAATATTTCGCTGAATATCCGAATATCTTCAATATCCTGGGATATAGACGGACATTTGGTTGGATATCCATATTGGATATATTGAATATCTCTGGGATTTCTTGTATTTTCTAGAAGATACGCATTGGATATTTTGCTGCATATCCATTAGGATAGCTTCTATATTCTGGATATAGACGGACATTTGGATATCCATATTAGATTCACGGAATATTTCTGATATCCTGTGGATATATTGGATATCCACACAAGATATTCTGTGGATATCTCTGGGATTTGGTGTGTTGTCTGGGTAATTGTCTTTTTGATAATGTATCATTCTCAACTAGCTTTTTAAAAAATAAAAAAGAGAATTTATTGGCGCCCTTCTTTCCTGAAAACTATTTCTCCAATAGTGTATATTAGAAAAGTCTGAATTCACGACTGAGAAAATCATAGTCTATGTGCTCATTTGATTTTCCGATTTGATTAATTGTTTGGTATAATATATCTAAGAGCTAGTCAATATTACATATAATAATTCAAGAGCCAACGTGCAGATTTGTGACTTATTTTCTTATGGTTGAATTTATGATTAAAATGTACTATGATACTTGTCCAACGAATTCAAGAAAGCGCGATATTCAGCCAGAACGCTTATCTAGCTGTGGGCATTACACGAGACACGTTCCTCAAAAAAAACTTATTTTCTTAATATTTTCGTAATGCTCATTCGACAATGAGTGCTCATCTACAAGAAATATTAAACCCTCCACCAATTTCGCTGGGCCATTTTTTTATCTCCAACGTTTTAAAGTAGGTAGTGCTTGAGTGGACATACGTGGCTTATTTTCTTATAGCTGAATGTTTTATTAAAGTGTACTACATAGAACATAGAAAAGCCATTCTGCGTTCTTATTCCAGAAAGAGACGTATGGATATTGGGGAATAAAATCCTCTCCCAGGCAGATCATGTGGAAAGCAAACGCGCCTACTTCGATCTTATTTGGCCCGGCCCGTGGTAGGCCCGTTGCTTTCCATCGCACGGTAGATATACGACATACGACACCGTATAAATCTGATGAACCTGGGTCTGTTGTTAGCCCGGGTCCGTTATATCTATTCAGCTAGAAATTCTATATCTGCAGAACAAAATTCCGTTCATACTCGCATGAAGAAGGTAAAAAAAGGCAATTTTAATTATGAGCAAAATTTATTTCTTGTGCTATATATAATAAAAAAATATTTCAACAAAATAATAATGAATTCATAATTCATTTCTAACCTTTGGTTCAGAGATAAAGTTTTTTTGTTTATAGATCTTCCGATCTTACAATAAATATTCTATTTGGTAGGTAATAGAAAAAAATACATTTAATAATAAATTTCATACCTTCTTTCACATTTTGTATATTCACACATTTCCATATTACCAAACTGTATTTTTTCTGCTACCAATTTCTACATAGTATTATAGATTTGATTTACTATCAGGTATTTGTTACAATTTTAAATTTTTTTGGCAGTTTATATTAAACAGACTGTGACAAGAAAAATGTTTATCGTGGAATGTATTTTTACAATTTAATAAAAAAAAAACAATCTCTGTCACATACCTGTAATATAGAAAAACTATACATGACAAACTTTATTTTTACATTTTTCCAAACAGTTATGAAGAATTTCAGAGTTATGTCGTTATATCCAAATAATTATTTTTGATTTCATATATTCTTTACTCAGAAACCAGAGACCCAGGGACATACAGATAGGAAACGCCCCAGGTAGCTCACTGACTAAAAATGTAACGCCAAAATGACGTCCAGCATCATGAATATTGGAGAAATTGAAAAAATAATTACTGAAAAAAATAATTACTGCAATAAAAGCAAGTTCATTATAAAAAAATAAATTACTCATATTTTTCAAATCCTATTTAACACTTTAAATTTATTTATCAAAAAATAAAAGTGCTATAAATATTTTATTATTATTAAAATAAGGTTTTTAAATTTTCCGCGCCGTTGTTTGATATCGATTAAAGCGCCACACAGTGAGTCAAATATTAACTGCGTACGAGCTGGTCGTTGTTAATCATGTGCTTCTTATGGGCATTTCCTATCTTTATGTCCCTGTTCTGTGTCAAAAACTTTATTGGTTTTAGTTAATTTGCTTGTCATATAGAATTTGTTTACACCACGAATCTAATTTAGTGAGCAGTTTGAAACTGAAATGTTTCTTTTATTTATTTTTTGTGGTTTGTATTTTATATATTTAATACCAATATACATAAAACCAATTAAAAAATTACGTTTTCTATTTAATATTTCACTTATTGTAAGGAATAAATCTGTTGAATTTGATATCCACTTTTTTTGTATAAAATGGACGTCAAGTTCGTTGTTTCTTCTCAATTAGACTGCCTTAAAAACAACGCTTTGATCTAAATATTTAGTTCTCGTGGTATAAACCTAGCAATAGTCTTCATATTCATGCAATAAACTTTTTCAAAAACATACCCATTTCTCATTTGTTTGTAGTTAAAGATATGACAACTATAGTACCTACCTACACTATACTGAGCTGTTTTAGAGAGACAATACAAAATATCAACTGAGCAAACACTAATTACTGTTTCACGTTAGTAAAGTTTCTAGAATCAGAAGAGAATATACCTATCCCGTTATTGATGATCTCTATAGCACATGCGCGAATTATACTTCCGCTTATGTTTACTACTGTGAGTTTCAGTTACACATTCGCAAATGTCATTTTGTTTTGGGGTGAAAACAAAAGAGGACAATCTCATCTGGTTGTTTATCTCAAAATGGCATAAGAGAATGAGGCGGTAGTTTGAAATAAAATAAATAATTCTAATTAATTAATTAATTAATTATAACTCTAATTATATTTATTTAATTTAAAAACATTTGACACGTGTTTACGTTAATTAAATAATCGGTTACTTTATTTTCACGCTAACTTCACATTTGTTTATTCCTCTATATTCACACCGGTAAAAAAGAAAAATTAGCGACGCTAGTGGTGAAAAAAGAAAGCTTTATTTATACGATAAAGCGCGGAGATACTCTGGCAAATTCCACACTTGAGTGCGTGCTCCTTGTGTAGTCTCCATGTCAAAAAGTGTCCCCTAAAATGTATAAAATTAAAATGGCGCTAGTGTACTAGCAGGGCACTAGAAGGGAAAGATCCAAGGATATATAGTTATTTTTAAACATTAATAAATCAACACGTAATGAAGCAAATTTCAAATTTTTTTGCACGGTTGAATAGAGAATAACACCCCCTTTCAAATGAGCTATCACTCACCACCCCATGCCATTTAAATTTTTCGAAAGGGTTGCTCCCCTCCAGTAAGGGATGAAATTAAGGGTAAACTATTCATACAAAAATGTACATTGTAGAAAACAAAAATCGACGTGTCTCGGTGATTTTCCTAACAAGACTCCAGTAATGAGTTAGATAGGGGGGTAAGACTTATGGTGCTCACTGTATAGATAGCTCACCCATATGTAAATCATCAGACTACGAAAAGCATTTTTGTCTTGTATTATTAAAATTTTTCTCGCTTTTCACGATTGCTTTGTGATGTAGTTTTTAAGCTATACCCTTCGAGCATTACTAGATTCAAAGGTCCCGCGCTTTTTTCGCGCATGAGTAATGTGAAACTGTCGAATAACGGGAAAGGTGGATTGCAGAATATTTAGAATGATGTTATTTTGTAGCTTTTCGTTATATAAAACTACACATACTTTTTATGGTACTATTTATAACTACACAACGTATTTGGATTGAATTGCATTACCAAAGTGACGAAATCAATTAATAATAAATGAAAAACTCCAAAAATGTATCACTTATATCAGAACCAGTTCTAGTCATTTTTTCCGAAAGACACTTTATCACTTTTATTTTAAATACACTGTGTCACAATGTATATTGCTTAACTTTGGACCCGTCAAGATAGAGCTAGCTATATCCCTCAACTTATTTAATTACATATTTACCTTTCCAAAAGTAACGGAGTAAGTTTTTGAAAAAGCGGCTTTAATAAATAAGTTAGTCAACTTTGTACAGACTAAAAACACCTATTATAAACAAAATCACTTGTTTACTTATTGTCTTAAAGCTTGAAATATTTAAAATGGGTTAAAATTCTAAGCATCTTCTGACAATAGAATGTAAACTTTTTATAGAGAAAATCTTCATCGTCTAAGTGTTATGTCGGTTTGGCTGTCATCCTCGCTCTCTGTTAAAGCTGTCAACTGAGTATCGGGTAATATCGTAAGATGAGTTGCATCCGATTGTAAAGTACTGCATTCCCCTTGACTCTCACTATTGTCCTTTTTTTGAAGTTGTTGCACGAAGTTCTAAACAAATCAAAAATAAGATAAATGTATATTTAGCTGTTACAATTTATTAATTTATTTATAAATTTTTATTGAGTTTAGTTGAAAAGTATCATAGTGGTTATTTATGTTCCATAATATACATATATGTATGAAGAGACGGCCCAATAGCCACTACCAAAGAATGTCATTTAGACAATTAAGCACATACTTTGATTTTCTTTTACTATACGGAGAATAGTCGCACTGCGCAGCTTTCTGAGTGCCTTTTAAAAGGAGATAAAAAACTCCGCCATTTTGATCCCTTATTACGTGTTGTCTTCATCTTGGCGCAAAATTTTTAATAGGTGCGTTTTAATCATCCGCTTCTGCTTCGGAATTGTCGGTTTTCTTGTTTTAATCTGACAGGTTACTAAGGTGGGGTTGGTTGTAGCTTGGCCATTGCTTTGTAGTTTAGATTGCTTGCTTGCACACTCGCTTAACACGCCTGCTTTGTAGGTAGGTAACTTTTCTATAGGACGATGGAGAAATGCAACCATCGAGTGCCTGCCTCCTCGTGGCACCACTGGATAAGGCCAATAGCGATGCTTCAAGAAGCACCACTATTGACTAACCAAATGGCATTCCATCAAAGCCCAACGCGACGGTGTAAGGTAACGTGCCTAAGGATGAATGGCCGCAGGGCTTAATATGCGGTTGCGAACGTTCCCTTGGGGGAACCGGGCGAAACCCCCAAGTATCTAGCCTTGACTCTGTACGGGGGGCACTGCAGAGTTGGACTAACCCCTTCCCCCATACTCGTGGGAACAAATGAGTGAAAATAATTTAGAAAAAATGGACACCCAAGGAGAAGAGTCGGATACAGACGACTCAGGCTCCTTGAACATGACTGTCGGAGAGATTGCGTTAGCTTTGGACTCCGACAACTCAAGGGAAGGAGGAACTGCGAAAGCAGAGGACTCTAACCCCTTAGCTGGAGGAGGATCTGTGAAAACAGACGACTGCTCCCAAACAGAAGAAAAGGTAAAAAAAGCAGAGGTTAAGCCTGCTGATAGACCGAAAAAAACCTTCAGGAGCGGAGAGAAAGAAGCTTCTGAAGGAAAGAAAAATGGCTGCAGGAACGTGGACGGAGGAAAATCCCCACAAGAATGCAGCCCAAAAACGAACCCAACGGAGGGAGGACCAAACGAAGAAAGGGGATAAAAGGCCCCGATCTGAGTCGCAGACTCCCCCCACTCGAAGTGGAACTAAGCGGGCCAGAAATGCTCCGGCATCGGCTGGCTCGTACAGCGACACTTTGAGGGGTATCCGACTGGCTGTCATCCAGAGAAGGCATCCAGATACAACTCTAGACCAAGAACAAGGAGACTTGGTACAAGAAACTCTTGTGGAAAGGCTCTACGCTACCCCTTCAGGCAGTGGAGGAGCACCACAGTTCCACAAAACATCGTTTAGCGCAGGGGTCAATTGGATGTCCTGCGCTAACCAGCAGACCGCGGACTGGTTAAGGAGGACGGTCAGCACTTTGGGAAACCTTTGGGAGGGTACGGATTTGACCGTGGTTGAATCTAAGGACCTCCCGAGAAGACCCAGGGTTCTGGTTTTCATCCCGGACGAGTCCGAGGTTGAAAAAGTCAGGGGACTTCTTCAGCTCCAGAATACGGAACTGAAGACGCCGGACTGGCTTCTAATGAGCAGAAAAATTGAAAAGGCAGGGCAACTCCTAGCCTTTTCAATTGACGAAGCGTCGTACAGGGCCCTCGAGAGGTCACAATTCCGGGCCTATTATAAGCTAGGAAGGGTGACCTTCAGGGTCCTAAGGCGGCCTGGCGAGGATCAGGATAATCCAGATCAACCTCCAGCACTGTAAAGCTGCTTCGGCGGTACTTACAGTGGCGATGGGGAGGTTTGAAGTGGCCCTGGTACAAGAACCGTGGATTAGACACGGTACAATAAGAGGTTTAGGAGGGTAGGGTGGAGAGTTAATATATGACAGATCCACAGACACCCCTCGAACCTGCATAATTGTCAAAAAAGGCATAAAAATACTGCCGTTAACTAATTTCTGTTCCAGAGATTTGACAGCAGTCAGAATCAAGATCGATGCAGGAAATGGACCGAAGGAGGTAATACTCCGGATCGGCATATCTACCTTCAGACGATCCTGAAGCAACACCTACCAGAAAAGTGGAGGAGCTGGTGAGATTCTGCAGGCGCAACGGAATGCAGATGATCATTGGCTGTGATGCAAACGCACACCACAGGATCTGGGGGAGCACCGATACCAACGAAAGAGGTGAGTCTTTACTACAATTTATTATGGCAAATAATTTAGACATAACAAATGTAGGCAATAAACCGACCTTTATAACAAAAAACAGAAAGGAGGTACTAGATGTAACAATAGCATCAACATACTTGAGTAATTTTGTTACAGACTGGCATGTGTCTGACGAAGAGAGTTTATCAGATCACAGACACATAAACTTCAATATTAAAGGTAATATTGCAAAAGAAACTTATCGGAATCCCAGGAAAACAGACTGGGAGGCATACAATGCTTCCCTGGAATGTAATCTTCCGAAGATGAGAAAGACGATAAGAACAACAACCGACCTAGAAATCGCTGTGGATGATTTTAATGACACAGTCACTAGCGCTTTCAACGATACCTGTCCCTTAATAGCAAGGAACTCTACCAGTTCCATGGTGGAATGATGACCTGGCTATACTAAGGAAACAGGTGAGACAAAAATTTAATAAGGCTAAAATAACCGGCGAATGGGAACTATATAGAACCATACGCACCTGTTACAACATAGCTTTACGAAAAGTCAAGAGAGAGTCTTGGAGAAGGCACTGTGAGGAGATAGCAAGCACTCAAGAATGTGCCAGGCTCCAAAAAATTCTCTCAAAAGACACACAACACACAATAAACACCCTTAAGAATGAACTTGGGGAGTACACAATCACAGGGAAGGAAACAGTAAGGGAACTCTTCAGGGTTCACTTCCCTGGTGCACAAACCATAGCACACACAACGGCTAACCAGAATCTAAACGGACTGGAAGCTCATAATAGAGCCAACAGGGAAGATTGGAGGATAGCCAAACAAGTGGTGAACTATGATAAACTGAAATGGGCAATTAGCTCATTCGAACCATATAAATCACCGGACATGGACGGGATTTATCCAATAATGTTACAAAGAGGTCCTGATATTTTATACAGCAGACTCTGTAACATACTAGAAATATTAGGGTAACTTTTATACCAAAACCTGGGAAAATGGGACAGGAAACGGCAAAGTCCCTAAGACCAATAAGTCTTATGTCCTTCGTACTTAAGACTTTGGAAAAACTGCTAGATAGGCATATTAGAGACGGGATATTGGTTCAAAGGCCAATATACCAAGACCAATACGCCTATAGTGCAGGGAAATTAACTGAAACAGCTCTCCATCAACTAATAAAAAGGGTGGAGAACACACTGGAAAACAAGGAGGTAATGCTGGGAGCATTCTTGGATATCGAGGGTGCATTTGACAATACCTCCGTTGAATCAATCATTAGATCTCTCAAACACAGAGGAATCGAGGACACATGCGTGTCCTGGATCGACTCTATGTTAAGGGAGAGAACTATACACACAACCCTTATGGGAGAGACAATAGCGGCACGGGTAGCGAAAGGATGTCCACAGGGTGGAGTGCTGTCTCCACTCCTGTGGAACCTTGTAGTGGACGGGCTGCTTAGGGCTCTCAAAGATAAGGGACATAGAACCCTGGGATATGCCGATGATCTAGTGATCATGGCACAGGGAAAATACAACACTATAGTAAGAGATCGAATGCAAGAGACTCTAAATATAGTAACAAAATGGACAGAGGCGGAAGGACTAAACATTAGCCCAAACAAATCTGACATAATTGCATTCACCCGCAGGAGGAAATTGGAGGGACTAGGGCCTCTAAACCTAAGAGGTGCAAGCATCCAGCTTAAGGGGGAGGTAAAATATCTCGGGATTATGATTGACTCGAGACTTACCTGGAACCAGCATCTAGAAAGAACCACAAGGAGAGCGGAAACATCATTAATGATGGCAAAGCGATCCTTTGGAAAAAAATGGGGGTTAAAACCAGACATGGTATACTGGCTTTATAACATGGTGGTGAAACCCATAATAACATACGCAGATTTGGTGTGGTGGCCAAAGACACAGCAAAGGAAAGCAATAACGAGGCTAAGCAAGGTACAAAGACTTGCCTGCCTCGGAATAACGGGGGCACTGAAAACAACCCCCACTGCTGCAATGGAAGCACTAATAGGACTCCCACCTCTTCACTATGTGATACAAGGGGAGGCAAGATTAGGTGCTTACAGATTAGGGAATACACTGGGAAATCTTGACATTAGGCCAGGTCACATGAGTATCTCAAGGTTAGTGACAGGAGACGTGCTAGACATGAGATCAGACTACATAACCAAGAGGTACTCTTTTAATACTCCCTTTGAGGTTTTAATACAGGAAAGAGCGGAGATCACCATAAAGGAGCCCAATGCCCAACGACAGGAACAAACCTGGTACACAGACGGGTCTAAGACTGCGGAAGGCACTGGGGCAGGAGTATTCTCCAAAAACCCTGATACTAACCATAGCTATGCTATAGGAATACATTCCTCGGTATTTCAGGCCGAGGTATACGCAATTTTGCAATGTGCAAAAACGAACAATGAAAGAGCTGTCGAAAATCAGCATATTCAAATAATGTCAGACAGCCAAGCGGCACTTAAGGCCATATCGAGTCAGAAAGTTACGTCGAGGCTGGTATGGAAATGCATCGAAGAACTAAGAACACTGGCAGACCGAAATAGAGTAAAACTATTTTGGGTGCCAGGTCACAAAGGGATCGAAGGTAACGAAAAGGCTGACGAACTTGCAAAAAGAGGATCAGAAGAAACACCGGAACCAGACACAAACCCAGGAGTACCAAAAAGTACAGTCAGGGGTTTTAAAAAAGACTGGATTCGGGAACAACATATCAACTATTGGGGAAGCACCCCAAAACAGGCACATGGAAAAGCCTTCATAGGCAGACCATGTCCCAAAAGAACTGGAGAACTACTCTTAATGAATAGGAACCAGTTGAAAGTGATAACAGGGTTCATGACTGGGCACGCCCCAGTAAAGGAACACTTGAACAAAATTGGCATGTACAATGGGGAACTCATGTGCCGACTATGTCACAAGAAACCAGAAACGGCCAAACACATACTGTGCGAATGCGAAGCTCTAGATCGCAAAAGACAGGCTCTTTTTGGACAACCCCAGGTTGATCCAACAACGTATAGAACCCACTCACCCAAGGATCTGTACAAACTTGTACAAGATACAAAGGTAATAGAGTGGGTGCTATGAACTAACATGGGGTAAAACACAATAAGCCAATAGGCTTCAGTGTTATTCGGAGACACATAGTCAGACGAGCCCAGGAAAAAAAAAGCCCACCCTTTCACTGGTCGTAGTAACCCTGAACCAAAATAAACGATTTCGAAATAATAGCTTAGACAGAGAGTTAGCATTAGGGCGAACAGGAAACGAATAATACAGCGTTGCCAGTTTGTATGGTCTGACCGCGTTGTAATGTTGACTAATGATGTAGTTTTCACACGCAATTGGGCAAAGGTGTAATGGAAAGTGTTTGATAGCGGATACTATCTATTCAAATACTGAAACTAATTTTTAGTAAAAAATTCTTAATGTACCTGACTTATCACATCGCCATGAGCAGTTCGGACCTGATAGAGATATCTATACTTTTTCTGCTTCATTTCAGCTCGTTCAGCTCTCGTTAAAACTCTTGGAGGTGCTCTAGTTTTTTTCCTACCAGCTTTCACTGAAAATCATGATATATGGTAAGTTCATTTCAATAGAAAATAATTGCAATGCAATTAACCAATGTAAATTTTCTAAATTATGAGATTTAACAACCAAAAAATATTGTAAATAGATGTAAAGAGTCTTAATGAAATTAGGAATAAAATTAATTACAAGGTTGTAACTGTCAAATTTTACAGGAAACATTTTCAGAACTGTTACAATCTTGTTCTGGCCAAGGCGACTTTAGTAAGCTAAAATGATCATTAAGAATAAGGATTTTAAGGAAAATTGCAGTAAGAATTCTACTATATTGTTGCTTAAAATCATATTCCATGCTTAGTACCGTTTTAGAAATATTGTTGGTTACAACCTTATTCTGGACAGGTAAAATATTATTAAAGTATTAAATGTCAAGTAGTAAAAGGCCAGTGGCCTAGTCTGGCAATACCGCTTGCGAGCGGACAGTTGACAGTCATGATACAGAATAGAGAACAGGATACCTATTCTCTAACTCATGGGAGCACTCCCATTAGGCATTCCAAACAAATGAATTACCAGTGGGCAGGTTTGGTATATCTAAGGGTGTATTCTGTCTACTTTACGTAAAATCATGAATAATAGATTACATTTAAATATTTTATGTCAAACACAATAAAAATAATATTTAAAAAACCCACCTATACATTTCTTCATAAATTGGCAGGCTTGGCGAGTACTACTTCGAATAAAAATAGCGTCCAAGTTGCAAGACTATGTCGCTACCCCCTTAAATATACAAGAATTTCCCACTGGCACCTATTGTTTGACAGGTCGTTGGAATGCCTAATACTCGCATGCCAACGTTGCCAAGTCGCCAGAATAACTTTGATCTACTATTTAAGTGGTAGTGGTTTAAATTTGCTTTGTGATAAATACGGACCTAAGGTTCCAATTTATAAACAAAACTCAGCTGAGTCGGACTTGGGTAAGTCGTCCTTGAACGAAAATCGAAGTTCGGTTATATCGCGTGAATTTAGAAATGTGTAGTAACAAATCCGTAAACACCTAACCTAGAAATTAAGAGACGTTGTAACCGAACTTCGATTTTAGTTCAAGGGCGACTTAGGACCGATTCCACCGTTGTGTTAAACAAAGTTTAAAATGACATTTTTACATTATCAATGTCATTTTAATATCCGTTTAACACAACGGTGGAATCGGCTCTTACCCAAGTCCGACTCAGGTAAGTTCAAGTTCTTCTTCCTTTATTAGTGCCGCGTTTGAGAATCCACATCGGATGCATTTTTTACATCTCGAGCGTTTTTTTATCCACATCGGACACATCTATCCCATATTACATTTACGTATACTGAATCACGTGATCAAAGATTTACTACATCTCGGATGCATCCGATGTGGATTCTCAAACGCGGCATATGTTATATCCCACAGGATCATTTACCCAAAAGGTTCAAGTTCTGTTTATAAATACGGATCAAAATCTGGCAACCCCGCAATTCTCCCTCCCATGGTATAAAATCTGACCTTACTACGCATGTCCCTGGGCTAAAAGTGAGTAAGCACGATATACCCACCTAAGAGTAAGAGAGCAAAATATATGGGAGCACTCCCATGGGAGCGTTCCCATGACTTAGTGAATAGTTATCCAGTACAGAAAAGAAATATAGGGCTCGTTCCACCACAGAGATACTCTGAGAAAACGTATCTATTCACAGTACACCACAGAGCTAGGTATACGGTGAATAGTTACGTTTTCTCAGAGTATCTCTGTAATGGAACTAACCCTATGTTTCTTTTCTGTATTGTTCGCTCTTCTGCGGTCATGATAACTGTAAAATAAATTATTGAAGTAAAACTACGCTCTTTTAATTACTATAACTCTAAGTGACTGGTAGATTACTAATTACACAATCACAGTTGTATATTAAACACGTTTAAAAGTCGACATGACATAAGACTAATATGGAAGAATAAAAAAAAAATAGTATATTTACTTTTCCTACCATCATCGTGGTGAATGCCTCTTCCGGTGATTCCGAACTGGATTATCAATCCAGCTAGAACGAACGAGGGCCAAGCACCTAGAACTATCCAAGAAAACCAACACGGAGGCGGTTGAACAGGTCTCAGAGACACCCTTTGCCACAGCCAAGAAATCATGGACAATTTTTCTACGAAGTAATCAATAGCTATAGATAATGTTGCCCCACCGTAAAGACTTGAGCCAAGAATTGTAAGACCTAAAAGAAACGAATTTTGAGTGAAATAGAGCATAAAACATTTGGATTAGTTAAGTAAACCAGAAAGTTTTTACGCCTGGTAAATATAGAGCATAGATATGCCATAAAAAATACAATAATTGAGAGGGGGATCATCGTTTTATATTATTATTAACTGTAAGACGTAATTACACTTGTTCCACTGTAGCCAATTCAATTTAAATTGGAAAAGTACCAAGTATTTGGTATTTTAACATAACAAAACATAATTTAATGAAATATGAACTTAATAATTGAAAAAACTTGCAGATCACTTTACTTACAATAAATCAAAATAATAATTAGATGCCCCACGTTGTGCGCCAAAGTGTAGTACAAATAGTTAATGTAATTAAGTTCAATATTGATGGCATGATGTGGATTCTTAGGCTTGACTCATGCAAAGTTAGTTCAGAAGTAGCTTAACCTATTTACGGGTCAAAATCTAGTAGATAAATTAGAAAACAAAAGGAAAATTAACTTTGTTGAACGCCACCGAGTTTACTTTAAACTTGGAGAAAAACTAAACTAAAGAACTGTTTAAATGTGCCCGTTTATGTTACCTCAAAGTATACTGAAGGGGGTAAAGGTAAAGAAAATTTAATCCTAAAACTTGATACATATAATGGGTAAATAAAAAAGAATATTACAATAGATTTTAGATTTTATTGATTCATTGGAGAAACGAGGGGAAAAATTAATACTTTATAACTAAAATAATTATCACGTAACACTAATTAAATTATCCTTCAAGCCGTTTGAGACTAAAATAAAAAAAAAGTACGGTAATAAAAAGTCCTATTGCCGAATTTCCCATAAACTTACCTTTTCCATGATGTATGTCATACATGGTACTTTTCCAATTTATATGGTATTTTTAATTTTTAAAAATTAAGAAAAGTAGAGAATGGACGTAATTTTTTTATAATAGAATTAATGCGCATCACTTACTTTTTCTAAAATATAAGTTAAAAATAGCAACCGTCAGTGCGGAACATAGTAATACACCAATACACAACCATACAGATCCTTTGGGAGACGTTTCCATGAAATGATCAGCCGTGAATAGACCGGCCAGGGCTAGTAGAACACCAGTATGTAAACCGCTCATAAATAATCCCACGTACTGAACCAACATCGTAATCAAACCAAACAAGACTCCAGCCAATAAGGAAACCCCTGAAACATAAGAATACGTCTATATTTATGCAACTATACACTGTGCAGTGACGTAAAAGTGTAATCAAAATGGCGACTTGGAGTCGTAATTTATGTTTGAAGATTGACAGAATGAAAATGTTTTTATATAATTTAAATGAAGCTATTTTAAAAACATGGCATTTTTTTTCACCAAAACTAAAGTTCATATTTGACACATGACATAAAAATGTAATGCAAAGGTGTGATACGTTTAGTATCGTCATAGTATCTCCTCTTTATTCTATCTCAATGATTTTGCATATTAAACAGGAACATTCTAAAAATGTAAGAATCTCGATCCCCAAAAAAGAACGAGAACCCTAGCGAGTGACAATTTTTTGCACACACCTCTCTTAGAATTCCGTCAAGGTTATAGTTGTAACACAGCACTTTTAAAAGATACAGATGATTTATTTATAGACACATATAATGAAAACACGTTTGCTTTATCATTAACCTCTTTGGTTCCTTTAATTAATAGACTATTCTTTTGATATAATTAACCGCAAGATAGTATTCGTTATGGGCTACCACATGTCTCTAATTTGGAGTTGGAGCCATTATTATGTGCAATATTCTAGTATACATGTAATATAGTATTTGACAGCTATGATGTACAATGCGCCAATGCAGTAATGAATGAATATTTGACCAATCGATTGAATCCAAGTGTGATGTATTTGTTTATCTTAGGTCTTTTCCATTGCATCGAAAGTGTAGCACTGAGCTACACCACTTCTGAAAATATCGTTCCATTTATACAAATTGTATGGATGGAACAATATTTTCAGAAGTGACGTAGCTCAGTGCTACACTGTCGATGCAAAGAAAAAGACCTCTTGTAAATCGCCTTTTAGTTTTGTCTGTCAAGTGTCAACCGTCACGTCAGTTCAACTAGGGATCGCGGACAATAAGGGTATGGTCCGTTAGTAACCGAAATATCGGTTACTCGGTCCAAAACTAACCGTTTTGCTTGACATTCCTGAAAAATCGGTTAAATTAGAGTCGCGGTTATCTGAAAATGGCGACTCAAATGTCAATCCACTAACTACTATATTTTTACGGTTACTATTAAGTAGAATGTCAATCTGTCACAAAAGTGAAGTAAATCTCGGCCGTGGCCAAATCTAACCAAGAAATTAGTTTTTTTCAGGAACCGCTGTCAATAAATCGTTACTTGAGGTTAGTAGTCAGTTAATAACGGACCATACCCTAAAAAACACTTGCCTGGTACTTGTTGATTCGAACTACTTTTTATTACACCAAGAGGAACTTTTTATCAATAAATCCATCAAAATGGTAGTACATAAAAGTAAAATTGAAAATGAAATGAATGTAAACATCTGGATACTGGATCTAGATACTAAATACTGACAGTTTAAAGGTTCAATAGTTTTGTAAACTTTTGTCTAGGGGTGGAACTCAATTAGTTTTACTGTACGAGAAAGGACTAAGATAAAAAAACAAACATTTGGTCTAAAAAAAAATATTTCTACAAAACCTCTTTATCTGTCTATTCACATTTGTACTACTGCGCATGCGCAAAAATCTTGGTGGTGGGGGTAAAGAATTATTTGTTTAAGATATTGAGACATTAAAGACTCTTTCAGTCTACTGAGACATTTTCTACGAGTAGCTTCTCTAAAAATAACAAAAAAAATGTCTTTATTGTCAAAAATTGATTATTTGATTCTCTTGTATCTAAATGAAATTAACGCATTATCCCCACAGGAAATGGCACAAGATTACGAAGAATTTTCTAAAGAATGGTATCATTTAATATTAAATGAAAAGGACTTTAATTTACTTGCTTGTGCTCCAAATATTAAATGGTATTCTATTTGTCGATGTCATCTAATATCAGACGATGGTGGTACAGTACATGAACATCTTCACGCTTTAATACATTTTACTAATGGATTCACAATGTTAGCTTACAAGAAAAAAAACTACAGCGCACTGGTACACGACTCCATTCAAAAACAACTTTCAAGAAAATAATTTGCTTGGACCATGCTGTTGGTGTCCTCAGATACATCACCTGTGCTGATGGACAAAAGCCGCTTAGAAGGGAAGGAGATGGTTTTAGAGGTGCACCTCATTCTCATTACGATAGAAGAGTATTCAAACAAGATTGGTTACATTCCCGAGTGCTGCTTAGTACGCACAGACATTTCAGAATTAGCATCTGAAGGTGTAAAAGACTTAGAAAACTACACATCTGAACACGAACTTCATGATAAATCCACATGTAAATGTGATAGAGGTGCCGAAGGAATAAAGCGGAGGGAAGAAGCTAACGAGAAATGGAGACAATTTTACAAAACAGAACAAGGAATTGAAATTAGGAATAATTACAAAGAAAAACAAAATAAGAAAAAGAAACTAATTACAAATTTACTGAAAATAGACCTAAATAAAAAAGCTGAGCTTCAAAGAGAGACAATTTTGAAACTTATTGAGCTACTGTAAATACATAATACTGATATTTTAAAAATATAATTTAAAAACGAAATATATTTTATTTTCATTGTCCATTGTTGACTTTACCTTATAACAAATAACTTTCCCCTATTTAAATTATTAGCAATATTTGTCCTATCTTTACTTAAATGTCCACACCAGCACTCTAGTGTCCAGAGTGAACTACACGTTTTCAATTTAAAAAGTATTGGTGTCCAAGATCCTATTTTAAAAATATTGCATCAGAATAAATTACACCATGTGCTTGCCAGATGTTAAAAAATTGCATCAGAATATCGTTATCATTCCCAGAGATATTAAATTACATGTCAGATGATCAACATGTATTAAAAATATTCCGTGAGGAAGTCGTTATCATTCCCAGAGATATTAAATTACATGCCGTATGGTCAACATGTGTGCAAATATTATTATGTGCGGTCAAATTACATGCCAGATGGTCAACATGTGTGTAAATATTCCGTGAGGAAGTCGTTATCATTCCCAGAGATATTAAATTACATGCCAGATGGTCAACATGTGTTACACATTTTTTTTTTGACCGGATGCAGATGTTCACCAGATCGTTTCCTCCGTTTGCGTGCCCAGGGGGTCTCCTCCGTTTGCTCTCTCATTTCCCCTCTACTATCTCCATTAGACTCGAAGCCCTTAGCCCAGCATACGAAGGGTTTAAATTTAATACGTAAAACTTAAATTTAAACGAATGGTTTTTTAATCATGTGTGAGCAGGCGAAGGACAAACTTAGCAATAACACGTCTCATTTGTAATCCTCAGTCAAAATCCGATAGCACGAACTCCAACTCACTTTTGCATGGTCTGAAATTTTCGTCGACCGTGAAACGACGATTTCATCAATGTTTTTTTGTTCGTTTCGAGATGTTAAAGAGCGCCCGGAACGAGCTTGATCTTCAACACTCATCTCACCATGTTTAAAGCGCCCAAACCACAGCTTATACAAAGCTGTGCCCAAACCATTCTAAAACTTGTATACGACTCATATAATTCTTCTTGAAAGCCTTTTGAAGCATTTGGGAAGCTTCTATTGACGATGTTTCAAGTAGGAAACAAAATTTCAAACACGCTATTGGTTTCTTTAATTTGGCCATAATTTCGTAGGTGGCAAACGAGAACAATTACACTACGATCGATGACGCCTCTTTAGGTAACTGATTCCCTGATTTGGGAGGTTTCTACTAGCCGCACCTAGCGGGAGAACTTACTACTACGCCTAAAAACGGCTGTGCGCTTTTAATCAGTTTTTTTTGTCCTCCACCTCGTATGTCAGCTCTATTTTGCATTGAGCGTTTTTATAATGAATGCATTTCTTATTTTTTAATATTCTGTATGAATAAATGAGTTTATTATCACTATAAAGAAAAAAATTATTAAATTCGCAACACTCCTAATACAATTTTGAATGTTTAATAGATAAATAATATTGGCAAAAATAAGTCATTTCAATAAACAAATCAATAATATACTTGCTGTCAAGAAATTTATTGCACTAAATTAAGATAAACGACTGTATTGACCCTAATTTTGACCTTTGGCAATGACTGCTTAATAGTTAATGTAAATGTGTGTGGATGGCTTTTAACACAACGAATATAAAAGCATAAACTTAACAAACAACAATTGAAAAATTGCATCAGATTAAAAATTTATGATCTCAGTTGTTAAACTAGATCGTTCCTGATTTTTATTTAATTTGATTAACCAAAATAGAATAACCTTGATGGTATTTCAAATGTATTACAATTAACACATTATTAAAAAAGGAAGCCATACGCCAGTTTAGTGTGATGTCATTTTGGTTCCACTGAGATTTCATTTTAACCAAATTTTTAACAAAAACATCATTAATTTTGACATAATATATGTTTTTACTGTTTTAAGTTTTTTTTTTTTTAAATATATTTTGAAGGTCATAAAAATAGTTTAAAGTATGTAAACGATTGTAAATTTGATGCAAGTTATCTACTTTAGGAATATATTATTTATAAAAGTGAAAAAACGATATAATTTAGGAAAACAAAACGAACAAAACGCACTCAAAACATCTGACATCTACTATCACTTTAATTGTTAGTGGAACCATAATTACATCATCACTAAAATGACGTAAGTATTCCGTCTATAATTTTTGTTTGTTCAAAAGATCTTTAAAAACACTTTTACCTGCCTTACTCAGGCACCTTCACAATTTATTGATTCCATTTTATTAAAGAAAATTTACATTCGTATTAAATTCAAATTCCTTAATTTTAACGAAAAAATCTTTAAGATAATTAAATTATTGTCTACGATGTCTAATGAATAAAACCAAAAATATAATTTTGACTTGTACATGCCCAATATCCAGATAAGAAAATAACCACTTCAATAAGCTATATAGGAAGAGGCACACTGTAAAAACTATATTAATAGGTAACACAAATGGCATAAGGTTGGTGTGACAGAGGACATAAGAGGAGATCACATAACGCCAAATTAAAAAGGACTAGGTCGTGGAAAAATGTTTGATACATGAATGTGGTGTATCTGCGTAATCTTTAGTATGTATCACATCCTAATTTTGGCGCATAAATAATTATTAAATATTCTATGTTGTTTTTATTTGACAGTCTTCACCAATAGACCTTTTCATCACAATTTTTTTTTGTGCGCATGCGTCAGTTTCAGCCATCTTTTTCGTACTGTTTTTGTAAACAAGTATGTTAAAATGCTTACGTGAAAAAAAATATAATTGATAAATATTAATTTAAGTCTATATTCATTTAAAAAAAAAAGAAAAAAGTAAAGTAATAATAAGTTTAGTGTCTTAATTGAAAAATACATTTTCACAATCAATTATAATTATGTTATCTGTACGGAAAGGAATAACAAAACAGTGTTATGTAAAAGTGACACACGGTATAAATCATTCAAAGGCAATAGATATTATTTTATAAATTTTCCAAAGCCTTAACTGCAATATCGTAAACAATTATCAGGCAAAATCCATATTAAAAGATATTCAAAATGTGCATTAAGTGTGAAAAAATATGGTCGAAGTGACAACGGTTTTCGATGGATTAATGATGTTACTAAATATACTTATATTTCACTGCATTTTCATGGAGAAAGTGGTCCAACAGAAGAAAATTCGCATGTGGTATTAAACAATATTTTTTTAATATTAAATACTACTTCGGTATACACATTAAATGATTAAAAATGTCATGTTGATCCTCAAAATAATAAATAATTTATTTTATTAATTATACTCGTGATTAACTTTCATGCTAATTAAAGTGTTTTTGCAAGTAGTAATAGTTGGTTGGCATAATTAATTAGAATAAAGTTATAATTATTATTTGTTTTCATTAATTTTTTACAGAGTTAAAAAGTATTGATACACCTAACCTCTCAATTAGTCCACTTTGTTCCTTTGTAACAAACATCCAAGACACTTCAACCTCCTTTTCAACTGCTCACAACTATGCGCTTCCACAGAGTTATAAAAAAGTAATTCACTATCAACGATTTTTTCTAATGATTAATTTTTCTGTAGAGATAACATTGCTTTTCCAGCCATTGTCGATCAAAACAGTACGAAACTTTTGAGGTCTATACCCGTAATGTCATTAATAACTACTCGAGTAGGTAGTAACCCTAAAACAATGTCACTGACCAATTCGACAAAACTGATGCTTAATTTATCATAAAATTTACTAAGAACTGTCATTTTGATTAAATTTGTTGTTTCGCCAGATAAAGTGAGATACGAGTATTGTTAAAGATTCCTTATGAAAACAGGGAAAAAATAATTGAATAAATGAATTGTAATATTACCTTCATTTCCGTATGTTGGCATGAGGTCGCCTTGCTGGCATATCAGATAAACGATACTGGACGCAAAAATGAATCCTGTCAGAAACATTACTGTTTTGAAGCATCGATAACCTGAAACGAAAAATAAATACATATAAATGCTAAGGTTCTAAATACATTTTTCGCCTTTTCAGGCGTCCCTCTGTTCCCCTCTGAAGATTTCACATAGCGGCCCTTCAGCCTCAATGGCTTATTATTACATTACCATTTGGATTCCTTACTTCTCATTTATTCTACTCATGCATTCTACCCATAAATTCCACCGAGCTATGCGAGTTCGGTCATCCACTCAAACCGTGGCTGGGCCATGACTGCTGCGCTTCTAAATTCATAGGTATTTTCAGAATAATTTATAGTTAAATGTACCAATCCGACCGAAAAAGAAGAAACTACGGACTAAAATAGAAGACTGAAAATTGTAATTCATACGAGATAATATCAAAGAATCAAAATGTCTTTCACTCTGTTCAAAAACCCCGTATGGTATTATTGAATGGTATTTTTCAGGGTTTGTTTGGAACATAGAAAATTGGAGGTGAATGCAACCTACCCCTTGCACCTAGAGAAAGGTATTCTGGGATGTGTGGCACTCTGTGACTGGTGGTTATTTATGATAATAGGTTTGTTCCAACAGTTCCATTCTGATTTGTCGGTGACTTGCGCATGGATGCATTCATAAACTTATCACTGCGCATGTCAGTCCGTTTATTCGTTTGTCCTTTTATCAGCGACTTGTACCTGTTGGAACGCAAAATACAATGGAATTGAACAAACCAAACACATGTTTGGTATCTAGGTATTTTGAACATGATTTAAAATACAACATAATACATTTATTTAGCTATCTCGAAGGATCTATGTGAATATATCATTTTAAAACCTTAAGATATTTATTTTTATTCAAACTAAGTACGTATTGTATATAAAAAAGTACACAAGATAAAATTTGGCACGTGTTGAAAAACTTCTATCTTTGTTCGACATAATGTGATTCTTATGTAATGTCTCTCTCTATTCAACACGTAATGTGCTGAGTTCGCACATAATTAAATGCGCATGCGACTGATGTCATTCTGATGATCAGCAGTGGGATTCTCATCTTTTAATTCGGCACGTGTTGAGAAACTTCTATCTTTGTTCGGCAGAATGTGATTCTTATGTAATGTCTCTTTCTATTCAACACGCAACGTGTTGAGTTCGCACATAATAATCTCTGTCCAGATTAGCTGTTGGAACAAAACTTTTAGCTTCAACAATCACGCCCGCTTTTTCAGTGTCGCGATCATAGATCAGAAATACAAAAACTAAAAATTAGTGTAGCCAACACACAATGCAATTATCATAAAATACTCAACCTTTCAGTATTAGGATCCTAATTTTCAATAACAATTTTTATGGCACCCTTACTTTTCTTTTTCATTAAATAATAAAATACGACGTATATTATGCGATGAAAATTTTGACCCTACTCCCCTTAGTGCATCGTGATGTTAGTACCCTAGACTCTAGACCTAGAGCCCTAAAGCCGCGTACAGACCAGATTCCAACGCCGAGCATCCCAACCAGTGTTGCCAGTCTAGTACAATTGTACTAGATCTAGTACATTCTCTGAGAATCTGGTACTCTAGTACACTCGAAACTAAATCTAGTACTTTTTAAGCGTATGTTTCCATTTGAAGTGTAAAATATATTGGTAAAAAAATTGCAAGAGAAATTAAAATAGTTGTTAAAAATTACTTTAGAGATAAAATAGTAGACATTTCTCGAGAGATAAAACATTGTTTAAAAATTGTACGAGACATCAAATATTGTTCAAAAACGGCTTGATAGGTAAAAAAGGGCGTTAAAAATTGGTCGAAATATAAAATAGTATTAGAAATTGCTTGAGGGGTAAAATATTGTTCAAAAATTGCTCTAGGTAAAAATACTGTTAAAAATTTAATGAAAGATAAAAATGTTTAATAATTTTTCAAAAGATTAAATAGTATTATAAATTGTCAAAATCGTGTTCAAAAATTGCTCCAGGGATAAAATACTATTGAAAAATTTGTTGAGAAATAAAATATTATTCAAAATTGACTCAAGAGATACCTACTATTAGAAATTTCTCTAGATAAAACATTGTTTAAAAATTCCTCGAACGATAAAATACGATTAGAAAATGCACAAGAGATTAAATATTGTACAAACATTGCTCGAGATATAAAACATTGTTAAACATTTATCGAGAGTTAAAATATTTTTATAAATTAGTCAAGAGTTAAAATATTGTGCAGTTTGCCAAAGAGTTGTTAAAAATTGCTCGAGAGATAGAATAATGTTAGAAAATTATCAAAAGATAAAATATTGTTTAAATATAGCTCAAGAGAAAAAAAAGGTTTAAAATCTGTTCGAGAGATAAAATAGTATCATAAGTTAATAAAATCTTATTCAAAAATTACTCGATAATTAAAAAATATTGTTAAACATTTCTCAAGAGATAAAACATTGTTATTGCACGAGAGATCAAATATTGTTCAAAAATAGCTCGAAAGGTAAAAAAACTGTTAAAAATTGCTCGAGTGATTAAATAGTGTTAAAAATTGTACAAAAACTTTGTACAAACTTTTTTCGAAGGATAAAAAAGTTGTTAAAAATTGCTCGAGAGATAGAATACTGTTAGAAATTTGTTTAAAATTGTTTAAAAACTGTTCAAGAGAGAAAATATTATCAAAAAGTATTAAAATCTTTTTCAAAAATTTCTCGAGAGATAAAATAGTGTTAGAAATTGTTAAAATTTTGTTCAAAAATTGCACGAGACATCAAATATTGTTCAAAAATAGCTTGAAAGGTAAAAAAGTTGTTAAAAATTGCTCGAGAGATAGAATACTGTTAGAAATTTGTTTAAAATTGTTTAAAAACTGTTTAAGAGATAAAATATTATCAAAAAGTAATAAAATCTTTTTCAAAAATTGCTCGAGAGATAAAATAGTGTTAGAAATTCTTAAAATGTTGTTCAAAAATTGCACGAGACATCAAATATTGTTCAAAAATAGCTTGAAAGGTAAAAAAAGGCTGTTAAAAATTTTCTCGAGTGATAGAATACTGTTAGAAATTTATTTAAAATTGTTTTAAAAGTGTTCACGAGATAAAATATTATCAAAAAGTATTGAAATCTTTTTCAAAAATTGCTCGAGAGATAAAATAGTGTTAAAAATAGCTTGAAAGGTAAAATAGGCTGTTAAAAATTGCTCGTGTGATTAAATAGTGTTAAAAATTGTACAAACATTGCTTGATGGATAAAAAGAAGTTGTTAAAAATTGCACGAGAGATAGAATCCTGTTGGAATTTTATCGAAAATGAGCTCAAGAGATAAAAAAAGATTTATTAAAAACTGTTCGAGAGATAAAATATTATCAAAAGGTATTAAAATCTTTTTTTTTAAATTGCTCGAGAGATGAAATAATGTTAGAAATTGTTAAAATTTTGTTCAAAAATTGCACGAGACATCAAATATTGTTCATAAATAGCTTGAAAGGTAAAAAAAGGCTGTTAAAAATTTTCTCGAGTGATAGAATACTGTTAGAAATTTATTTAAAATTGTTTTAAAAGTGTTCACGAGATAAAATATTATCAAAAAGTATTGAAATCTTTTTCAAAAATTGCTCGAGAGATAAAATAGTGTTAAAAATAGCTTGAAAGGTAAAATAGGCTGTTAAAAATTGCTCGAGTGATTAAATAGTGTTAAAAATTGTACAAACATTGCTTGATGGATAAAAAGAAGTTGTTAAAAATTGCACGAGAGATAGAATCCTGTTGGAATTTTATCGAAAAAGAGCTCAAGAGATAAAAAAAGGTTTTTTAAAAACTGTTCGAGAGATAAAATATTATCAAAAGGTATTAAAATCTTTTTTTTTTAAATTGCTCGAGAGATGAAATAGTGTTAGAAATTGTTAAAATTTTGCTCAAAAATTGCAGGAAATCAAATATTGTTCATAAATAGCTTGAAAAGTAAAAAAGTCTGTTAAAAATTGCTCGAGTGATTAAATAGTGTTAAAAATTTTACAAAAAAATATTGTACAAACGTTGCTAAAGGGATTAAAAAAAGTTGTTAAAAATTGCTCGAGAGATAGAATATTGTTAGAAATTTATCGAGAGATAAAATAGTGTCAGAAATTTGTCGAGAGATAAAATATTGTTTAAAATTGTTGTGTTCGTGTTCTCTGTAAACCTTTTTTTGCTATTTAATGACCATACTTCATAATTAGAAAAATCTGGTAATTTTATAGAATCTAGTACATCTTTATGAAATCTGGTATATTTTTTAGATAAATCTGGTACATTACAAAAATATATTCTGGCAACACTGATCCCAACCCAAGCATCTTGCCCGACGGGATTTGGCGTTGGAAGCGATTAGAATGCGCACGTCCTCACCAAAAATTTTATTTGGGTTCTACAGCGTTTGGGAAGGTTCGGTCGCTTGATCAGTTTGGTGCAAAATGGTTTTAAACACAAACCATTTTAAGTGATACACATTCTGGGTACCCATTCCGGAACGCACTGTCCCTTCACGTCGCATTTCACGACGATGCGATGTTAACATGCTTTCTATTTTCATTTTAACTTCACCGTCTTCACATTTGAATTCTTGTGCGATATTTTTCCATAAATCTATTTTAAACTTTGAGAGTTTATAACGTTTATCAGTTGGGTCCCATAATGTGGGATTTTGCGAAGAGCATTCAATTAATTTTAAACACAAATCTTCAGTCAACTCCATATTTTTTATCCAAACAAATATAAGCTCACCAGTACGCGGCTAAACTAACAATGTCATCAAAATGCTAAATGAAAACAACACAAGCAAAATCTCTACCAATCGAGCGACAAATCCCGTCCAAACCAAATCAAATATACTTTCTCGGTCTGTACGCGGCTTAATAAAGAATTTAATTACAAACCTTCAAAATTACCGAGAATAGGTGAATTTATTGAAACTTGGCAATGCCGCTCCGCTACATCCCATATAGATAAAGTGTAAAGCCAGAATCGATATTTCTCATTTGCTCTCTATCATTTACGACGGATATCAAACAGTTTTTAAATACATAATACATTTTTTAATCATTGGATTTGTGTTTTTTTTTTCAAAAATTTATTTTGATTATGTTTGTTAATTTTTAAATATTATTTAAATCTAAAAACTAATAGTAAGTCAAGATTGGTATATGCTATTCATTTTTTGCTTTATTATAGCGACTACCGCTATAATAACGCAAAAATGGAGTTTGTGTGAACAAATCTTAATTTGGCTCTTAGACTAGGTAATAAAAGTCTAAGATTTTGGCTAATAGATTTAGCGCTAATTATTTTTACTGTTAATTTTGAATGGTTCTGCGTTATTTTATTACTCTAAATGACCGTAAGATGGCGTCATGTCTTCTTACATATGGCCTCTGGTCCGATGAGGACTTAATTGTGATATAGTACTTAGCCACGTCCGATAGAGGCGCTGTAATTCTATTACCATATTTTAACATGGTAGATGCGCTCTAAGGTAGATACTGTAATATCAGACTCATTTATAGTCGTTATTTATTATTAATAAAGCAATTATTACTTAAAAGGTTTTTATTCTGAGAAATTCAAAAAATATGACATGTATATTTTTGACAAAAGACCATTGACAAAATTGTTATTGTTCTTCAAACCATTTTAAAAAAAGTTCATTATTCATCTCACCGTGATAATCATAATCATTGCTTTTTAAAGTAAATATGGTCTCGGCACCATCAATAAATCCATTTTCGTTTCCAGCATGAAGAATTTTTTTTTATTAACCTTTTACCATCAACTTTTGTACTTTTTACACTTCTTTTATAGCTGTCTTGCCAAGAACGGTTTAGCCATTTTGGAAAATCCAAGTCTCATCAATAAAAACAAACTGGTACAAATTTGCTTCCTTTTCTTTGGTACCTATATTTTCTTAAAAATTCTGCCCGTTTCACGGCAATATCTGGAAGTTCCATAAGACTTCGCCTTGGTTCATCTTTCTGCCATTTGAAACCTATTTCTAATAAAAAGGTATGCAATGATGTGCGACATCCATTGAACAACTCCTTCTCATTAAGTTTCACCAACAAAGAATCTACACTTACATGCTCTTCTGAAATCATACATTAATTTGTAATTGTTTAATAGTAATTTATATACATATACACTTACTAGACTCGTACATGCTATAAATAACATCTCGAATAGCACTGGTATTCAGAATTCTTGTGTTGGTAACTTTCTTTTGCCTATGGCGCTTTTTTGGTGGTGACTTTAAAACCTCACTGTTTTTTTTTACAGCTTGTGAAATAGAACTAACAGTAGAAAAATTGAGATTAAGTGCTTAAAATAATTATTAATCAACTCAATTCTCTTACAGCTGTTAAAGGTAACAAAAGCCCATTATTATCACGTTCTTTCTCAAAATAATTTATTAGAGAAGCCACTAGTTTTTTGCAGCGACTATTTAATTGTTTTGGCATTTTTCAATGAAAAAATACACAATAAATGAACACCACTATGAAATTCCTAATAAATTTGTTCTGAAAATAACAGTTTGTTAATAATTTAATCTAAAATAGAAATAATTTGTTGAAAAGAAATCGATCGATGCAAAATAATACAAAACAAATAACAATTGACAACAATGTATTAAAATTAAAAGCTGACACATTTGATGCCAACTTTTATTATGAAATTCACTAGAAAGTATTCCGTTAATAATCTGCCTACAGTACATTTACTACTGTAATATGATAAAAAATACATTTTTAATACGCAATTTTATAAAAATGAACTCATGCGTCTAAATTTGTTCATTTATTTGCAAAATAAAATTTAATTATTTTTATTAGTGTGTGTGGTACCAATGACTGCCACTGACGTCATTTCTGACGTGCATCGGGTTTTATATTGAATGCTCAATATACACCGTTTTAAGGAGTTTTTTTGGCAAATTGGAAATTTCCTTAGCGTTTAGCGTGTTACATTTATTTTCTCCTGGTTAAAAATATTGAAATCGAGGTTTGTATAAATTTGTATACATTTATAACAAAGGATTACAGATATAGTAATAACTTTAAATAACTTTTTTTTGCAAAAAAGCATATAGAATATAAAATTAAAAACATAATTTTTTCTTCTTTAAATGTTTAGTACACTTATACAGTATATAACCTACCACGGTGCCAATTGGTACCTTGCATTTTATAATCGAATCGTAATAGTTTTTCGAATGAATGCGCCACTATGCACTGCTCACTGCTCTATTAAACTAGTAAGCAAATCGATTCACGCCGAGAAATTGGTTCCTATTATAATATCTCTAATATTTCCATTTTACATTCAATGGAAACATTTTGGAAGTTTAGATATAAAATAATTCAAAGTTGATCCACATTCAGAAAATAACTAAGTTTTACCACGAATATAATATGAGGGAATTTTAGAATTTGTTTGCCTTTAATGAAAATTTATAAACAAGCAAATATTTAGAAACTTTTGGAGATAAAATAGTTATAAAAAAAAATTACAAAATGTTTAACAGGCAAGTTTTAAATATTCATTTTTCATTATCTGCATAATATTCTGATCTGGATATAGAGGGTAGATAGAATTTAAAATTTTCCTATTTAGGGATTTTGAATTTTAAAAGGCCTGAAGTGGAAACCTGTTGTACAAAGAGAGATCAACGACAAGAGTCACAGCTAACGATAAAGGAAAAAAAGGCATTTCCTAAACAAGAAGTATTTTTCAATTTTTCAGTTGTATATTTAGTTAATTCAGACATAAGGTAAAGTATTGGTAAATTACGTTCTATATACCTGCTTATTATAAAACTTTTAATGTGACATATGCTATTATAAAATGAATAACATGAAGACTTACCTAGAAAAGTGTAAAGAATTCCAAAAATAATATAAACGGCGAAAACGACGGCTACTTTAATATCATAGTGCGTATCGAGATGTGTGCATGATTCGACATAGGGGCCATCGGGCGTCGACGGACCCAATCCTGGAAAAGCGGTTCCATTCACTCTGGGAGGTACCAGGGAGCCTGGCCGGGCTCCGCTAGCCATCCTCTGCTATCTGTAAAATAAAATAATTACAATAAGTTAATGTGTTTTAGATTTAATTATGATTTGAAGAAACAATAATTACTTATGTAGGTATTCAATTAGAAAATCATTTGGGAAAAAGAACTCAAAGTGCCGATTCAGTAGTACAAATAGGTACAAATGGGTACCTAGACACTTTTTTGGTCCTTCGTTGTTATTCATTATACAATATTATTTTATTTATTTATTTTTACAAATTGTTCTACAGGAAATTTCCAATTACAGAACAAATAATCTAAGAAGCAAATGTTTTATGTAAATATTTCTATTGTGAAATATATCCAACTCGTTAATGCTGTTGAAATTACTATACATGACATATAATGGAGATTTGCTTAAGATGTCGGTGCGAGAAGTAAAATTTATCACGTTTTAACAATGTTTTAATAACGTAATAACGTATTAACAACTTTTTATCAACGTTATGACACCCACTAACAACGTTTTAACAACCTTCCAACAACCTTTTAACAACGTTGTAACAACCTTTTAACAACCTTCTAACAACGTTTTAACAATCCATTAATAACCTTTTTACAACCTTTTAACAACCTTTTAACAACCTTTTAACCACCTATTATAAACCTATTAACAACCTTTTAACAACCTTTTAACAACCTTTTAACAACCTTTTAACAACCTTTTAACAACCTTTTAACAACCTTTTAACAACCTTTTAACAACCTTTTAACAACCTTTTAACAACCTTTTAACAACCTTTTAACAACCTTTTAACAACCTTTTAACAACCTTTTAACAACCTTTTAACAACCTTTTAACAACCTTTTAACAACCTTTTAACAACTTTTTAACAACCTTTTAACAACCTTTTAACAACCTTTTAACAATCTTTTAACAGCTTTTTAGCAACCTTTTAACAAACAATTTAACAAACAATGTTTTAACAACGTTATAAAAATGTTTTAAAGATGTTTTAACAATGTTCTAATAATGTTCTAACAATGTTTTAACAATGTTTTAACAATGTTTTAACAATGTTTTAACAATGTTTTAACAATGTTTTAATAACTCAATAATAACGTATTAACAACTTTTCATCAACGTTTTGACAACGTTTAACAACGTTTTAACAACGTTTTAACAATTTTTATAAATACACAAATTTATTTATATTCTTGTGAACCTTATTTTTAAAGGTTGCAACAATTCTTTTTACTTAAATTTTATATAATTTTTAATTAGTTGGCATTTATAATTGTCAATTAGCTTTAAAAAAAAAATAAAAAAGACAATTATTGGCGCCCCCTTTTTTCCCGAAAACTATATTCCAAAAGTGTCTATTAAAAAAGCCTGAATACACGACTGAGAAAACCATATAGTCCATGTGCTCATTTCATTTTCTGATTTGATTAAAGGTAGGTAAGTAATATTTGGTTTAAAATATGTAAGAGCTAATCAAAATTTCATATAAGTAATTTAACGTTAATTATAACTATTATTGCAAATTTACGTCGGACTTATAACTTGTAACATACTATACGATTGAAAACTAGCATACGACATCTACTTTTTTATAAACTTAAAATAGCTTATATTAAAGTTAACTGGTATTAGTTTTCTGTCAAATTCGGTATTTTTTGGAAAAATCGTTAAAATAATTAAAACATGCATTAAAATTGAGACTAAAATCACTAATTTCTTATTTATTTAATTAATGTGAAAATAAATTCGTTGGTTAATAAACTGTTAAAAATATTAATGCTCCGCCTATGGTTACGCGTCAAATAGAAGCCTACGCCACGGAATAATATACTGCTACTGTTATTTGGGCACAGTGGGGACGAGGGAGCTGTCGCCTTCTTTATTTCTTAATTTATCTCTACCTATATAATAGTTTAGCAGTTTAGCTCCATATCTAACTATTAGCCGCCTGTTTTCTATCTACATTCAATATTTATTTTGATGATTGCCCGTGATAGTATTATGAAAGAATCTATAAAGAGAGACACACACACAAAATAATTATTCCATTGTGTGTATATAGAAATTTGAAAGGCTAATGAAGAATAATTGACAAAAATTATTTTAGATTCAGTTATTTGTTTGAGAGCTGAACCATGCAGCACCTACGTGTGTATTGTTTAACAATTATTTTTATTTTTCCCTGTAGGTGTACGTTGTTATTTTTAAAAGTAGCTGTATCTACCTAATTGTTGGTCGTTACTTTAATGACGATACTCGGTTAATAAAAAAAACTTTTTGGATAAAAATGTCCTTTTATTTAACACCTAGTTAGCCAAGGCACAATGACACATATTTAACACTATATGATTTTTTGACTTTGTTAAACATTTTTTGGCTATCTTTTATCTTACTTAGCACTTAAGAATTTATGTTAATGCAATTTACACCGTTTAGTGTATCAAAACATTAACTTATATGTTTACTTGTCCCACTTATACACGACCTATGCCAAATAGGCTTACCTTTTTGTCAGCTAATACATTTGTTTACACACATTTTAATTTTTAATTTTAAAGATAGTTTTTGATAACTAAACTGTGTTATAATCACTGTAACAAAAAATAATTTCCACTTTTTCTAACACTGTTTATTTACTTTTATAATTTCAGTTTAAAAATAATCATTTTCTTAAAACTGTCTAAACCAAAAATAAATGTTTTGTTTTCAATAAATATCTAAAATATTGCCCATATTCTTTTATTCGTCGAAACACTTTTTTAATACATGTTAAGGACAGCAATAACATTCATCACTGAATAAATTGTTTTAGTTCTTGTGCTGTTTTTCCTCTTTTTGAGCTATTTTATTTATATCTTTCATTTTCTCTTCCGTGAATACTAAATATTTATTTTTCGTTGTGTCTGAAAGATTGTTGATGTAAATAAGAAACAAGTGTGGCACTAGGTTGGAATCCTGAGGTATACCGAATGTAGCAGCTTATTGTTTCAACTTAAATCCACAAACCAACTACTTTTTACTTGCCTACAGATAGGAAACCATAGGAATCATGCTTTTTTCGACCTCGAGTTTTCGACGGATTTGTACGTTTTGGGATCCCCTGAATCCGTTCTGACTATTTTCACGATGATGTCTGTGTGTGTGTGTTAATCCTCGATAACTCATGAACGGATATTAAGAAAAACACCAAATTTTAAACTTAAGCTTAATTCTGGCCTGGGGGGAAATGATTAGATTTTGGGCAGAGTCGGAACATCTGGGGGGGGGTACTTTATAGGGGTCATTTTTATATTTTATGGAATATATCTGGTATTTAGGTTTGGAGAAGAAAATTCTTTAAATAAAAGTTGTTTATTATATTATTTTGTATAATTCTTGTACCATACATAATTTCTCTAAAATAAACCGTATTCGAGATATTTGAGAAAAAGTGTAAATTTAAAATTTTGAAGAAAATTCAAAATCGGATAAAGAAAAAAATATTAAATTTTAAACTTAAGCTTTAGTCCGGCTGAAGGAAACTGATTAGATTTTGGGCAGAGTCGGAACATCTGGGGGTATTTAATAGAAGGTTGTTTCTATATTTTAAAAAATATATCTGTTTTTTATGTTTGAAGAAGAAAATTGTTCAAATAAAAGTTACTTCTCAAAATATTCTCTATAATTTTTGTCCCATACAAAATTTTTCTAAAATGGTCCGTATTCGAGAAATTTAACAAAATGTAAGAAATTAAAATGTTCAAGAAAATTGTTCAAATCAAATCAAATTTATTGGTTTAATTATTCAAATACATTACCTAATAGTAAAAAAAAATGGTTGTATATAAATAAAAGTTCTTTAAAGACATCTGATTGAGAATAGAACCTAGACATTTCTGCCTGTTTTGCTTCTGATCAATCAGATGACTCTATGTATGTACATATTTTTTTTAGAGACAGGTATTGAATTTTACATATAATTATTTATCACTTAACAAAAGATACAATATTTAAAAATAAGAACAAGTGACGAAGAAATTCGAGAGAATAAACCGATAAATAAAAAGATAAATTAAAATTAGAAAAAGTAGACAAAAACGACGAAGCGCTTGTGCCTTTTGGCTTTTGATATGTTTTTTATTTATACTATGTTATCATTAGATAGTAAATTTTTTTTTATTTGTTATTAAATATTTTTTAATTTCAATTTTAAACTTTTTTGTTTTGATTATTTGCCTGAGGTGTATCGTAATTAGCAGTGCCGGTTTAAGGTACTTTTGCGCCCGGTGCTACTTGTAATCGTCGCCCTATTTATTAATAATTTATACATTTTAGATTATTGAATTTGTATATTATTAAAAAAAAAACAAAAATACAAAAATCAAAAGTATTATATTTATAACGTCACAACATCAATAAACCATAATTATTATGATGGTCAGAAACAGCTATAAAACTATTACGCAAACAAAAATAATAAAATAAAACAAACAAAAATGACAAAAATGAGATCAAAGAAAAATGGAATGAAAACAAAATACCAGTCTAAAACATAAGTTGCCATTCTTGTTTTCTACAGTATTATCTTAATAAGTAGGTACTATTACTAATACATTAAGGAACTGTTGAAACTAAGTAAAAATAAATTATAAAAATAATAAATAAATAACGAAAAATATTATTGCTAATGCCCATATTCTAAAATATTGACATGTTATGTTTAAGGAGGTCCTTTCGCCACACCTCTCGCCTCAAATGTTAAAAAAAAAGTTATTAGATTATAACTAAAATTAATTTTTTTCTAATAGTTAAAGTCCTTATTTATCTAATACTGAACTTTTAACTATACCTTACCTTGCAAATTTTTGAGAATTTTTTTTTTAAATGTGAGTATTTGTACAGTGCCTCACGAGAAAGTAAGTCCTCAACAACAATTCTCGAATTATACTATTATTTATTGATTAAATGGAGTAGAAAAAAACTAAAAATAAGGTTTTTGAAATATTTAGATTTTGTTTTATACAATAAAATATATATAGTAAACCGTGG